CTGTTTTCAGAACAGTAGTCACAGTCTCATGTATGTCAAATATCCTCTGCTTGATCCTCTCCAGAAACAAAGCTCCAGCCTTCTGCCAGGTGGCGGAAAGAGTGTTTCTTATGCGCAAATAATAGAGGAGGAGATCTAGGGATTTAATTATTTCCTAAACAGACTTTCCCATACTTCTTAGTTCCTGGTTCCGTAGAGATCTTGGCTGCTACTTCCTGAGCCTTTTGAGGATTCTTTCTGGGTAAATTGGTTGGTTCTCCCCCTTCCCTCTCCTGGCTTAGAGTTTTGCTTTCTAGGACTGTCAAGTTAATTATGTTTCCTTCAGTTCTTTCTGGATTCCACACTACGTTGCTGTTGTCTCTTCTCCTGTCCTCTCTGACCTTGTGAGGGTTTGCCTTTAGAAGTCTTCAGCATAGTTCTAGTCAGGTTTCAGGAGGGAATGAAATTCGCTGGGCTTGTTCAATCCACCATCTTAATGCAGAAGTCCTTTGAAGCACTTTCTTCAGTTGGTTCTGACACCATATTCTCCTGAGTGTTGACTTACTCACTTGATGCTGTCAACTCATGCACCCCTTCGGGGCCCCCTTCCTCTTTTTGCCCTCTCTGTGGTGAAGGGTTTCACAGCTTCCTTCTGAGCTCCTCTTCTTTAGCTGGATTCAGTCCTTAACTGGCTTTGCTCAGTCCTAGGCCCCAATACCACCCGTATGCTGTGCTTCTCAGACTTACATTTCCAGCCTGACCATCCTTCTGGATTAAAATCGCTAACTCAGAGTCTTCCCTGCGGTGTCCAGTAAGTGTTCCCTCCCCCAAGCCAGTTTCTCCTCCAGTGTTCTCTGGGGTAAAGGCCCCATCATGTGCCAGTTATTCTAGCTAAAAACGTGATGTCATTCCTTGATTCTTCTCTTTCTCTCACATCGAATCTCTAAGAAAATCCTAGATGTGCTATTTTAAATATATAGCCCAAATCTGGCCACTTCTCACCACCTCAACCACCATTTTAGATGTTCCCTTAACCAGAGCAGCTTTCTGGGCCTCCCTATATAACGTGGTCTACCGCTTCTAGCACAGCACTCTCAGGCCCGCTCTCTTTCGCCCTCTCTCTCTCTCTCTCTCTCAGTCCAACACCACAGAATGTATCCTATCTATTTTTTTCCCCTTTTTATAGTTGTAACTCTCTTCTCCAACAGAGAAAACCTGGCCACTCTTATTATCTGAGCGTTTCAGCTAAAAGGAATCTCAGAGTCAGAGGCCTCTGCATTCCAGAAAAGAAACTGAGTAAAGAAATGAAGTGAGTAGCCAATTCAAGATGATACTAGGTAGTTTGTACAGAAGTTTTACATTTGAGAACTTTGTAACTCTGGAGATTAAATGTGCTGGGGATTAAAGAAGCAATAATGATATGTGACTATAATTTACCTTTTTTTTTTTTTTGAGACAGAGTCTCACTCTGTCGCCCAGGCTGGAGTGCAGTGGTACGATTTTGGCTCACTGCAACCTTCGCCTCCTGGTTTCAAGAGATTCTTCTGCCTCAGCCTTCTGAGTAGCTGGGACTACTGGTGCCTGCCACTATGCCCAGCTAATTTTTTTTGTATTTTTAGTAGACACGGGGTTTCACTGTGTTAGCCAGGATGGTCTCGATCTCCTGACCTTGTGATCCACCTGTCTTGGCCTCCCAAAGTGTTGGGATTATAGGCATGAGCCACTGTGCCCGGCCTACTTTTATATGCTCCTTTTATATAATTTATTTGGGGAAATGTTTGTAGGAACTAAAGTTGCCTGCTATCACTATGGGTAATCCATATTAATACTTAATTTACAGGCCAGGCACGGTGGCTCATGCTTGTAATCCCAGCACTTTGGGAGGCCAAGGTGGGTAGATCACTTGAGGTCAGGGGTTCGAGACCAGCCTGGCCAACATGGTAAAACTCCATCTCTACTAAAAATACAAAAATTAGCTAGGCATGATGGCAAATGCCTGTAATCCCAGCTACTCAGGAGGCTGAGGCAGGAGAACCACTTGAACCTGGGAGGCAGAGCTTGCAATGAGCTGAAATCATACCATTGCATTCCAGCCTGGGTGACAGAGCAAGACTCTGCCTCAAAAAAAAATACTCAATTTATTGAATAGTCAAAAATATATTCCACTTTTCTGGACGAAATGTAGAGGTTACGGGGAAGGCTGAGGCAGGAGGATCCCTTAAGTTCAGGAGTCCAAGTGTTATATCAAACTGAGCACAGAAAGTCAACACCAGAACAAAAGTATGCAAAATTACAGGGTTTATTGCTGGCGACCACGGAGGACTCACGTCTCTCCAACCCGTGGCCCCAAAAGAAGAGAGACAAGACCCTTTTATACCCACTAAACTACTTTTGGGAGTGGGGGGAAGGAGCAGAGATGAAAGAAAACCTTCATCCCACCGAGATATCTCGGTGGGCTGTAAATCACCTCCTGGGTAGAAGAGGAGGGTGATGGGTTCCGGACACTCCGAGGGCTAGGAGAGAGATTTGCAGAACTTAAGATAACCACTTGCTTACATATCGTCTGGGTGGGAGTTACTTGGCGCCAGGTTGGAACTATTCGGGGGTGCTTACTGTTGGCCATTACTGATGATCAAAGGCCAGCAATTCTGGTAGTTACAGAGAAACTATGCAGCTTTACCTTTTTGCAAAGTAATGTAGCAGTTTGCAGAAACCAAGGTTAGCAGTCCTTATGAGGAGAATGGAAACAGTTTTGTCCTTTATAAGATGGCAGTGTACAGGTTCTAACTCTAGGCTAGCTATATCTCACAAGTTTCAATGAGCTATGATAGCACCACTGCCTCCAGCCTGGGCAGCAGAGCAAGACCCTGTCTCTAAAAAAATAAAAAGTCGAGGCTGGGGAAAAGCATTTCCCCTAATATATCACCTTAATTGCATTTTTCTAAGCCTTTTTTCTTGACAGTGACTTTTTTCTAGTGTCTGTGCCTATATTCCACTCACACAAGGAAAAGAGAATCACTTGAACCTGAGAGGCAGAGCTTGCAATGAGCTGAAATCATACCATTTGGAGAGAAGCAAATTCAAGCCCAGGGACAAAGCCCCGGTCCAGCAATGTCTAACCATCCTTCCCAGAAGTGGCCTCTTCCTTTCCTTCCTGTGATCCCACTCTCTGTTCAAATGCCCTCTGATCTGCTTGAAAGGATTTCCTGAACGTCTGGCCTGTGACAACAGTGGCCTTGTAGCCTCTCTCAGAGGTTAAAAGTGACTTCTTGTGGTCCCCTTAATACAACCTACTCGAGAGTTTCCTCTGTTATTTACTTATTAGTTTTGGCTGACCAGAGCAACACTGTTGAATGTTTGATTTATCAAAACAATAAGTCCAGCCAGTGGGTTGGGGTCTCAAAAATAAATGCACGCTCTCTGTGGTTCATTTCTTTCACTCCCTGCCTTGGTTTGTTGTTGTTGTTGTTGTTTTAAATGCTCCCAGGCGAGGTGCCTCTCACACAAAGTACCTGCTGGGACTACTGGTTGCCCTGGTAACATAAGATTTGAGTCCGGGAGGAAGCACTGGGAGCAGTGGCTTGGGGTTTAGCTGGTGTGATGGAGGAGAGGGTAGAAAGATGTAAGTAGGGTACATCTGGCTGCCATGGCAGCATGGGAAAAGAACCAGGATGCCTCGGGTTTTTACATTATTACTAACATTTGTTACATGGTTTGCAATGTAAAGCTCTTCACTATAATCAGTAAAGTCTTCATTATCTAAACAAACAAACAACAGCATTGCTGCTCGGAGATACCATGTGCCCCACACATGGAAGATGAGTCCTGCTTCAAAGCCATCGGTTTGGGGCAACTTGAAAAAATTAACAGCATCTTTTGTGCTGAATAGTAACTAACTTTCCATCAACAAAAAATTCCTTTAGAAATGGAGCTCAAGTTACCAGGCAGTTTCCCAGTGGGTGTAAATACTTGTTGAAATCTCTGGAGCTTTTCATTCCCTTACCTATAGAAGTAGATGTTTGCATATGAAAAAAAGCTCATCATCACTGGTCATTAGAGAAATGCAAATCAAAACCACAATGAGATACCGTCTCCTGCAGTTAGAATGGTGATCAGTAGAAAGTTGGGAAACAGATGCTGAAGAGGATGTGGAGAAATAGGAACACTTTTACACTGTTGGTGGGAGTGTAAATTAGTTCAATCATTGTGGAAGACAGTGTGGCGATTCCTCAAGGATCTAGAACCAAAAATACCATTTGACCCAGCAATCTTGTTACTGGGTATATACCCAAAGATTATAAGTCATTCTGCTATAAAGGCACATGCACATGTATGTTTATTGCAGTACTGTTCACAATAGCAAAGACTTGGAACCAACCTAAACGCCCATCAATGATAGACTGGATAAAGAAAATATGGCACACATACACCATGGAATACTATGCAGCTATAAAAAAGGATGAATTCATGACCTTTGCAGGGATATGGATGAAACTGGAAACCATCATTTTTAGCAAACTAACACAGGAACAGAAAACCAGACACCGCATGTTCTTACTTATAAGTGGGAGGTGAACAATGAGAACACATGGACACAGGGAGGGGAGCATCACACACCGGGGCCTTTCAGAGGGTTGGGGGGCTATGGGAGAGATAGCATCAGGAGAAACACCTAATGTAGATGATGGGTTGATGGGTGCAGCAAACCCCATGGCACATGTATGCCTATGTAACAAACCTACACCTTCTACATATGTATCCCAGAACTTAAAGTATAATAATAATAATTTAAAAAGTAGATGTTTGCATCTTTGTTAACCTGTCGTCCCTAGAATTCAACGGTGTGCTGGTCACACATTTTAACATTTTGATTTCATGGAATGACTGTTTGATGAGTAAGATGACTGTGTCACCTAGGGTTTTTTCACAACTAAAGCCTATCTTGGTTTACTTTTTCTTTTCCTGAGCTGAATTCCATGGCTACACTAAAGAATGTGTTTGTGCTTCTTTATTTTTATTAGGGTACCAGAACATCTCGTGAAGAGCATAACTTGGCAGACCCTGAAAGCCGTAAATTTTTGCCATAAACACAATGTAAGTCCATGATCTCTTTTGAAAAGTGAGAAGGCTCCCCTTAAGCTGAGGTGGAGCCTTGTACAAAGTTTATATCACACTTTTGTGGGTAAAAATTTTTACCCAAATCTTCATAAGCCTGGTTGGGTAAGTAGAGGCTAAAAATGCCAACCTAGGTATTCCTTCTTGCTTAGGTTATATAAAACATGCATTTTTATGATTTTAAGAAACTAGTGCCAGGCATGGTGGCTGGGATGTAATCCCAGTCCTTTGGGCGGCCAAGGCAGGCAGATCGCTTGGACCCAGGAGTTCAAGACCAGCTTGGACAACATGGCAAAATCCTGTCTCTACAAAAAATTTAAAAAGTTAACTGAGTGCGGTGGTATGTGCCTATGGTCCCAGCTACTCAGGAGGCTGAGGCAGGAAGATTGCTTGGGCTGGGGAGGTCGAGGCTGCAGTGAGTCAAGATCATGGCACTGCATTCCAGCTGGATGATAGAATGAGACCCTGTCTCAAAACACAAACCCACAAAAAAAAAACCTGAAAAAAATAAACCCACAAAAAAAAACCCCTAAAAATTAGTCATACATTTATACTGATTAGAAACCACTCAGATTTAAGGCAGAACCCCATTCACTTGGAGTCTATATGGTGTTATACTCCCAAAAGTCTGAAATTAGGGGAAACCCCAGGTGACTCATGGCTGCTTAGCAGCAGTATGTCAATTGCGGGAAGTGGAGCCCCAAGCCTGGTGCAAAGTGCTAGTGTCTCCTTGGTGAGATATGAGTGTTGAGTCTGGATTCAGTGAAAGCCTGTGACATTCCTGGCCACAGCTGGCTGGCAGAGGCAGAGCAGACTATTGCCCAGGTGACATGGCTTCACAGATGCCGGGTAGCCTGATGCTCCATCCAGTGCAACACTGCCCACTGCCTGCGCATAGAAAGCAGATTTCAAGGTTAGAGCTTCATTTTGGCCATGAGTGCAATTTCACTGCAATATTTTATCCTACCCAACTGCCAGGTTCAATTTAGGTGGTAGGGCTAAATCTCCTTCTTTATGTTGTTCCAAATGATTTTTCCTGATGCTGCATTCCCGGAAGGAGGAAGTATGAGAGTAGACAGCATTTCTCCCTGCGGAGCCTCCAACTAGCTAAAGGCCATAATCGTTGTCATACACAGGGGAGAGCAGACACCCATATTGTTAATTACTGTGACTCAGCACTCTCTTGAGAGCAGGCTTTAGGATGGGAGAACAAGAAAGACTGCACTGAGATCCTGGTAGGGCAGATCTGGGACGATAAAAACAAACAGAATGCATACCACAGTTCCCTGGAGAGTCTCAGACACTCTGTTTGGCTCCATGTGCTGATGGGGGTGGGTGCAGAAACTTGTAAAGAATTCCCGGAACAGAATCAGAGCACATACTTGCTTGCAAGTACTTCTGACCATATGTCATCATGATATTCATGGTATACCCATTTATAGCAATATGTGAAGCCAGTGGTAAAAGAATAGAGATCTCAGGGATGTTAATTGCAAAGAAGCAGATAGATTGTAATAAAATCCCAAAACTGTTTTATTTCACCCCCAAATTTTCCAGAATAATAAATACCCATGGGGAAACACTGACACTGATCCCTCACCCTGAAGATCCTCTGGAGTGAGAACTGGTCATATCCAAGAAGAACCCATGTCCTCTCCGGATTCTTAAGAATAACCCCAGGGTTTCAGGCTGCAGGATGATTTACCATTCTCCTCCTGAGAGGAAAACACTTGGGAAAGAGGAATATTATGAGGGACCCTGAGCAGTATTTTGACATAACTTTAAAAAATATATATAATTGTTAATTAGGTTGTTGATTTATTCTTTGCCAAAAAAATGGTCATTTAATGAGAAAATCATGTGAAGTTTCTCAGACGTTCTTCTATCGCCCTGTTAAAGAATGTTGGCTGTGTGCTGGAAACCATGGGCGATTTGAATCTAAATGATAGAGCGGGGCCACATCCTAAGGGGTGGCTGCAGCTCTCTACTTGTGTGTGGGACAGAGCTGACATCTAGCGACTCTCCCCATAGGGTGAGGGCTGCTGCCTACTCTTGTTTATCTTGTCGGGGTGAATGTCAGAGCTGGAAGGGAGATCTCTTGGCAAGCTGTGGTTGACGCCCTTCTCTTCCCAGCTTATCTCAGCAGGCCCAGGGCTTGTCCTGTTTACAAGGCCAACTGTGTTCTGTTAGCAGTTAAATGACTGACTTGTGAATTCTGCTTATGCACCAATTTGCAGCTCCTGCAGTGATGATGCCAGCCTCACCCGGAGCCTTTCAACATTCTCCCTTTCACCTAGAATTGTCAGATTAAATACAGGACTCCCAGTTAAATTTGAATTTCAGATAAACAAGCATAACTTTTTAATATAAGTACATCCCCAAGTGCTTCATGGGACGTATTATACTAAAAAAAATATTTGCTGTCTGAAATTCAAATTTAACTGGGTGTCTTATATTTTTCTTTGCTAACACTGGCTACCCTACTTTCATTTTCCTTTCACTCTTCTTGGTTCTTTTGGGCCTTTTAGGAATTTGGAGTGATTCAGCCTCTGACAGGCATGGTACTAGATTTATTTTAGGCTGCTTTTTTGCTGTTGTCCAGCAGGCCAGGGAAAGATTTAAATGATTTCTCCAATATTTGCCAAATAGTCATGTGTTTCATTTATCCCATATATAGATCAGCTTTAATACTATTTTTGTTTTGTTACACTAGTGCATACATAGAGACGTGAAGCCGGAAAATATCCTCATCACAAAACATTCTGTGATTAAGCTTTGCGACTTTGGATTTGCTCGGCTTTTGAGTGAGTATTGAGATTTTCTTTTGTTAAGTATAAAAGACAGAAAAGTTCTTGATCCAGTAAAGGATCTAAATGCTCTAGAAGTATATAAGCTACTATTTGTATATTTAGGGCATAAGCATGCTATCAATTATAATTGTGTATTTACTGAAAATGTGTAGATACATACAGTGGTTTGTATATGTATGCTATGCATAAATTATACCACAGTAAAGTGGTTATTAAAAAAATATCTTACCATCCTGGTTTCTACCATTTCTTGCTAAAATAACACTTTTCAGAAGTGCTACTTTAGAAGAGTGTCTTTCAACCTTGGATGCAGATTAGAAGCAACTGGGAAACTTTTTTTTTTTTTTTTTTTTGAGACCAGAGTCTTACTCTGCTGCCCAGGTTGGAGTACAGTGGCACAATCACAGCCCACCACAGCCCCGCCCTCCCCAGCTCAGGTGATCCTCCCACCTCCTGAGTAGCTGGGACTACAGGGGTGAGCTACCACACCTGGCTCAGTTTTGTATGCTTTTGTAGAGACAAGGGTTTCACCATGTTGCCCAGGCTGGTCTTGAATTCCTGGGCCCAAACAATCCACCCACCTAAGCCTCCAAAAGTGCAGGGTTTATAAGCGTGAGCCACTGTACCGAGGGAGCTTTAAAAACTATGCCCAATACCCCCCAGACCGTTCCCAGGGATTCTGTTTTAATTGGATTGGAGTGTGGCTGGAGCATCTGTAATTTAAAAAACATATTCAAGTTATTTGAATGTGCAACTAGAATTGAGAACCAGCGATACAGAAAGGCCACAAGACTGGGCTCGGGCTTGACTTCTGAGATCTCCACTTCCAGTTTTGATTCCAGCCTTCCTCCTTGTTTTCTATGTCCCATCACTGGCCAGCTGGACCGAGTGACTATTATACAGACTACGTGGCTACCCGGTGGTACCGCTCCCCTGAGCTGCTGGTCGGGGACACACAGTATGGTCCCCCAGTGGATGTTTGGGCAATTGGCTGTGTCTTTGCTGAGCTGCTGTCAGGAGTGCCTCTGTGGCCAGGAAAATCAGATGTGGATCAGCTCTATCTGATTAGGAAAACCTTGGGTAAGTGGTACTTTTGTCCCACATTTTGGAAAACTGGATATTTCCCTGAGTTAGGGCAGGGCAGAGCCAAGTTCCCAGTCTCACCTAATGCTCTTTAGGGCATTAGTTAGGAAAGAGGAAAACTTGAAGCCTCATTTAAATGACTCCATTAAAGGTGGCCATGTTTGTTTTCATTATTGAGTACTCATTGTCCAAAAAGAGGTAGGATTCTTGAGCAGTTTGGATCAAATTAAAACATTAATAATGATCATAACAACAATAAAAACTCACATTTATTTAAGGGTTTAGGAGTTTACAGAATGCTTTCGTGGTTTACCTCATTTATGATGTTAGGGTAATTCAGCTGGATATCCTTAACCCCAGCCTGCCTGACTAGTTTGGATTATTCAGACTATGGATGGTGATTCCCAACCTTCTAAGTGTCAGGAGGAAGCCTGGTTTTGATGTCTCTCTGCTCATCTTGATTTCCCACCACAGTACCCTTTCCTTTCTCTCTACCCTCAGGGCAGGGGAGGAGAAGGGCCGGAAGGTGACAAACCCATCGGTGGCAATTGCCCTCTTCCAAAATCAGGGAGTTTAGAGGCTACTTCCCTGAGTATCTCAGTTTAAAGTAAACTTTTCCTCCTGTAAACTCTTACAGCAACTGCCATCGCCATGCCTTGTCTTATAATCTTATCTTCCCAAAGACACTGTAAACTTCCTGATGGTGAGATCATGTCTTAATGTTTCTACTTACCCTCTACCAGTGTCTGCACATTGTAGGCAGTAAATATTTGCTGCTAGCTTGACTTTGTTCAGTGACATGGAAGGCGCTTTGTAGGCCTTCCAGGGGCACTTAGCCTTTCTTGGCTGTGTTTCCTGTAGTGATTTTAGGACAGCTTCCCATGTCACCCCTCTGGCACTGGAGGAAAAAGGAATTGTGCTCATGATGCAGCTCACTGAGATCTGGGCAAAGCATTTGAGGGTATATTTTGCCTTCACCAAAATGAGGTGAGGCAGCAGTTTTTGCATTTGAGTGAGAGGTAAATTTTCAGGACGCATCAGTAAAATTAGATAATTTGATACCCTGGAGTAGGAACTCCCACAGTGCTCTGGGAAATGGGCCTGGTTGTGACCCAGAAGAACACTTTTGAGTATCTCCTTATATTCTCTGAACAAAATCCCTCTTCAAGTGTAATATAGAATTTTACATATAGGCGATTTTTAGCTGATTTGATGGAAATATGGGCAGGAGGAGCTTCCGAGAGTTCCCTGGAATATAGAAATACTCTTTTTGTTTCATTGCTTCACATTGTAAGTGCTTCTAAACATAGATGAAATGGGATTTCCAAGTGAGCACTAATTGGTGAAATAAGAAAAGTTGGTCCCCATGTGGAAATGTATTCCTTCTAGCTAGAAAATCCATGATCCCCTCCCCTCCCCTCCCTTCTCCTCCCCTTCCCTCCCCTCCCCTCCCCTCCCCTCTCTTCCTTCTTCTCCCCTTCCCTCCCCTCCCCTCTCTTCCTTCTTCAAATATTTATTGAGTACTTGCTGTATGTTAGTAAGACACTGTTAGAAGTGCTAGGGCAATACAATTTTATCTTGACCTATCAGGATTCAGTTTACATGATTTTGATTTGTTGTTGTTGCGCTTTTGCTGTTATTGTGTGCTTCTGAGTTGTTTGGTTTGGGATCCTTCAGTACACTGTAGGCTCTAAGAACAAGAAGCTGAGAGCAAGAAGCTTGAAGCACTCAGTTTCCATTGCTTGCCTCCTCTGTGCCTAACACAGTGTGCTGGCCACTGTAGGGATCAATACAGGCTGCTGAGGGTTGCCTGAATGCCTCTCCTTCTGACTGCCTGAGAACACTGCAGCATCCATAGATATGGGCACAAACAAAGCTTTGATGGAAGAAAACCACAGACCAGTGTTTGCTAACCAATTTCACTTTCTTTCTTCTTTTCCAAAGGAGATCTCATTCCTAGGCACCAGAAAGTGTTTAGCACAAATCAGTACTTCAGTGGAGTGAAAATTCCAGACCCTGAAGATATGGTGAGTGACCCATTTTGGAGAGGGCTCTGTAGGCCAGGCTAGCTAGGCTTTGGTGGTTATTCACCTCCCTGAGCCCCATGGCTTACCCTGCGTTGGAGGTCAGTCTAAGAGGGAAAAAGAAAATTGGAGCAAATGGCTAGCAATACCTTAGCCTTAATGCTAATTTACAGACTGTTGATAACAGAGTCTAGCAAGCCTGCTGCACCGGAATGCAGAGCTGCCTGCTGGAGCCACACCTGTCCTTTATCATGTTTAAGCAGTTGAACCTAGGTAGCTCAGAGCCAATCAACCTTTAGACCTAGACCTATCCAGCTAAAGTTAACTACTTTTTCCTCGGCACTGTCCAAATTACCTACTTACTGTGCCCACTCTCTCCAGACCGTGGGAAAAATCATAATGAATTGACTTGGGCTGGGTGCGGTGGCTCACGTCTGTAATCCCAGCACTTTGGGAGGCTAAAATGGGTGGATTACCTGAGGTCGGGAGTTCGAGACCAGTCTGGCCAACATGGTGAAACCCTGTCTCTACTAAAAATGCAAACATTAGCCAGGCATGATGGCACATGCCTGTAATCCCAGCTGCTCAGGAGGCTGAGGCAGGAGAATTGCTTGAGCCTAGGAGGTGGAGGTTGCAGTGAGCTAAGATTGCACCACTGCACTCTAGCCTGGTGACAGTGAGGCTCGTCTCAAAAAAAAAAAAAAGAACTACTTGACCAGCCTTACTCTGGTGCCTGCCTCTATGGCCAACCCAAATGGAGGAAACCTATTTTTAAAAAACGGAAAAATTTGAAATGTTTATACCTTTAATCCACTTCCAACAATTTATTCCAATGAAACCATTATCTAAGAGCATAAAGATGTAGCATTATTTAATAGAAATTATTTCCTTTAGTATTCCATCAGTAGGAGATTTAGTAAGTATAGTACATCCTTACAATAGAAATACCTCATCATGCCAGGTATGGTGGCTCATATGTATAATCCCAGCACTTTGGAAGACTAAGGCAAGTGGATCAAGGGCTAGAGACCAGCGTGGGCAACATGGCAAAACTCTGTCTCTACTAAAAATGCAAAAAGTTGGCTTGGCATGGTGGCATGGACCTGTAGTCCCAGCTACTAGGGAGGCTGAGGTGAGAGGAGCACCTGAGCTCAGGAATTTGAGGCTGCAGTGACCTGAGATCGCTGCACTCTAGCCCGGGCGACAGGTGTAAGACCATGTCTCAAAAAACAAAAAGAAATACCACATAGTAGAGCCGGCTAGAATCACACCTATAATTCTAGCAACTCAGGAGACAGCTGAGGTAGAAAGACTGCTTGAATACAGGAGGTCAAGACTAGCCTGGGCAACATAGCAAGACTCTGTCTCTACGAAATATTTTTTAAAACTAACTGGGGTTGGTGGCACATGCTTATTGTTCCAGCTACTTGGGAGGCTGAGGCAGGAGACTCACTTGAGTCCAGGAGTTTGAGGTTACAGTAAACTATGATCATGCCACTGCACTCCAACCTGGATGACAGAGCAAGACCCTGTAAAATAAAATAAGAAATATCATGTAGTAAAAATAATTAGATTTATAGGTATTCACTTGGAAAAAAAAGGCCACGGCATATTTTTAAATGAAAAAAAAAATATGTGAAAACAGTGTCGGCTGGGCATGGTGGGATTACATGCCTGTAATCCCAGAATTTTGGGAGGCAGAGACAGGTGGATTGCTTGAGCCCAGGAGTACCAGACCAGCCTGGACAACATGGTAAAACCCTGACTCTACTAAAAACAAAAATTAGCCAGGCATGGTGGCACACACCTGTAGTCCCAGCTATTCAGGACGCTGAGGTGGGAGGATGGCTTGACCTTGGGAGGTGGAGGTTGTAGTGAGCCGAGATCATGTCACTCCAGCCTTGGCAACAGAGCCAGATTCAGTCTCAAAACAAAGACAAAAACAAAACAAACAAAAAACCAGTATGTAATTCAACAGAGTTTTAACAATATGTAATATGTACATAATGCATATATACATATATTTACATATATAAATACAAAATATTATGGCAACATGTAGGAAATCAAAAAGATTTTTACATCTGTGAAATAAATGGCTGCAAGGATATATATCAAAATATTAACAGTGGTTATCTCTTTTTGGTGGGATTTTTGGGGATAACTTTTTTCTTTATGATTTTAAAAATATTTTTGAATGTCTTCTAATGAGGCTGTATTGTAATCAGAAACATTTCAGAGCCAGTTTGTAAAATCCTGAGTTTCTACTGCCTGAGGAAGGTATTTTCAAAATGAAACTAACCCTCCAGCTGCTCACTAAACCCTTCAGTTTCCAGATGGAAGTTCTGTCTCTACCACTTGTGTTTTGTTTCTTCCCTGACCTCTTGGTTTGTCCCACAGTGAAGGCTTCTGCTTCTCCATTGCCTCCTCCTTTTGCAGCACTAGCATTAGAAGTGGGTCTTGCTGGGACAGAGGGGCAGGAATGACACCTGGCATATGGGAGGTGACCCATCTGGCTTCCTTGTGACCTGGGCATTTCCAGCTCTGTACTAAATATCCCTAGTGATTTCCTGTTCGCTTGTCTGTTGGTAAAGCCTCAGAAATAACCCAGGTTTCATAAATGTAAAAAGCTTCCCATGGTTTCCCAGAGGCTGTCCTGCAGATTTCCTGTTGACAGAAACACAGGAAGAAGGAGTGTGGGGGCTGCACTGGTTGAACATCTGTGCCTCAGTCCCTCTGCCTGTCAGTAACCCTGATAGAGGGAGGCCTGCTTGCTTCAAGGGCTGGGAAACTGATCAGCAGGCAGGATGGGCCTTAGCATATCACAGCCAACCAGTCAGCATCATCTAGGCATTGTTGCTGAGACAGCAGAGCTCAATGATACAACAATGGCATGTCAATCTCCAGTGATGCTCAGATTCAACCAACAGAAATAACAAAAGAAATATTTAAGCTATGGAGCATGGGTGGGAATATGGGAGTGCAATGGGGGCTACTGTCAAGGGCTAATACAAATCTGCTTTAGGATTTTTTTTTTCTCCTGTTGAACGTAGGGAACTCCAAACAGAGGCTCTTCTCTCCAACTCTTATCAATGATTAGTATGTACACAATCCAGAATTGGTTATTGGGAGCTGGTTCCCTGTCCACAAAACTACTGTACTATGAAAGTTGGCCAGAGCACCAGGTCTGTGTTTGATGAGATGAGCCTGGGCCTGTCACTCTAGCCAGGCGCTCACACACTGCCACCTTAATACACACAATGCACTGCAGTCATTTATTTTGCTCAGCTCGGCTGGCTCTTACTTTCTCAGCCTCTCTGCTCAATTAGCCTTTGTCAGTTGTATGTCTCTTTAACTGGTTTGTCTGCCTGACATTGGCCATTCCTCCCCTATATAGTGTTAATCCTGATTGTCTTCAGCATGTGACTACAGCAAAATAGCCTTAAATGGCCAAAAGGAGATTGACAAATGCCCATCAGGAGACTCTTTAAACAGCAGGCTGATAAAGGAAGCAGCAGGCTGTAGTGGGAGCAGACAATGGTGTTTATTCCAGAAAATCAAGAAGCATCTGTTCACCTGGGAAGGGAATATTATCTATTTTGCAGCTCCCTTTATGTAATTAGGGCTGCCTTTTTTTTTTTTTTTTTTTTTTTTTTTTGAGGCAGGGTCTTGATGCTGGAGTGCAGTAGCGCATTTATGGTTTACTGCAGCGTCAATCTCCCAAACCCCTGCTATCCTCCCACCTCAGCCTCCCAAGTAGCTGGGACTACAGGAGCACACCACCACCCCCAGCTAGTTTTTTGGTATTTTTTTTAATAGAGATAGGGTTTTGTCATATTGCCCAGGCTGGTCTCAAATTCCTGGGCTCAAGCCATGAGACAGTCTTGGCTGCCCTGACTGCCGAGATTACAGGCATGAGCCACTGTCCCCAGCTGGCCACCTTTTTATAATGCCAAAATAAATGCCAAAAATTATTCTCAGGAAAGGCAAGTTACATAAATTGAGGCAAAAAAAAAAACTGTTCAAAGTTTTTTTTTATTAGTATTTTTATTTATAATTTGCGATCTGTATTGGTATCAGTCTGAGAAGTGAAGGGAGTGATTAGAAAGTCAATTTGGAAAAGCAGTTTGGAGGTGGGGAAGAGAAAGTGTGAAACAGGCAAAGGGAGATTGTTTTAGGCAGGAGGTGGGGTGGGCAGAGGGTGGAGGAGGTGAGGAAGATGCCAGGAAAATGTTTGTATTAAAAGATTTAATTTGATGTAACCTTAATTTGAATACATGCTGTAAATTAAAAACCCTTTTTCTTTTCAACAGGAACCACTTGAATTAAAATTCCCAAACATCTCTTATCCCGCCCTGGGGCTCTTAAAGGTAAAATTGTGGCTTCCAACAGACCAGGAAGCACACATCAGTTGTCATCCTTGGGGGAATCTGAATTACTTATGTCAATCCATGCCACCAAGTGTTCCTTTTAGAATTCTTCTTCTGGCTAGGCACAGTGGCTCACTCCTGTAATCCTAGCACTTTGGGAGGCTGAGGCAGGCAGATTACTTGAGGTCAGAAGTTCAAAACCAGCCTGGCCAACATGGTGAAACCCTGACTCTACTAAAAATACAAAAAATTAGTCGGGCATGGTGGCGCCTGCCTGTCATCCTGGCTACTCGGGAGGCTGAGGCAAGAGAATCGCTTGAACCCATGAGGCAGAGGTTGCAGTGAGCCGAGATTTTGCCATTGCCCTCCAGCCTGGGCAACAGAGCAAGACTCGGTCTCAAAAAAAAAAAAAAAAAGAATTATCCTTGGAAAACTGTATTTTCAATTTTTAAAATGGATCATATTCTATTAAGTGAAAATATCTGCAAGTATTTTTCACTTTAAATAAACCTAACATTATATTTGAAGTCTAAATTTACACAAAATAGAAATTTCAGGGGGGTGGTGATTGTTTTACAAAGGGATCCTTTTCTTCAGAAATGCTTAGCTGTAGGATCCTTTTAAATAGCTAACTCCCTGGTACATTTGAAGTACATTTAAAAACTTGATTTATATATACATTTTTAGAAATATAGCTCTTATGTAAAATGAGGTGTGGTATCAACTAAAATGTGTACAAGTTACAGTCAATGTCCCACATGGTTCAAAAATTATTTAATAGATTTACTGATGTATTAAATGATTTAATATAAATGATAATATAGCTGTTACCTGAAAGGGTCCCAATCCAGACCCCAAGAGAGGGTTCTTGGACCTCGTGCAAGAAATAATTCAGGGCATGTCCACAGGGTAAAGTGAAAGCAAGTTTATTAACAAAGTAAAGGAATAAATCAATGTCTACTCTATAGGCAGAGCAGTGCTGTGGGCTGCTCCACTGACTATACTTACAGTTATTTCTTGATTATATGCTAAACAAAGGGTGGATTATTCATGAATTTTCCAGGAGAGGGGCAGAAATTTTCTGGAACTGAGGCTTTCTCCCCTTTTTAGACTACATAGGGTAACTTCTGAGCATTGCAATGGCATTTGTAAACTGTCATAGTGCTGGTCAAAGTGTCTTTTAGCATGCTAACACATTATAATTAGTGTATGAGCAGTGAGGACAATCAGAGGTCACTTTCATCGCCATCTTGGTTTGGCCGGCTTCTTTACTGCATCCCGTTTTATCATCAGGGTCATTGTGACCTGTATTTTGTGCTGACCTGCTATCTCATCCTGAGTAAAAACGCCTAAACTCCTGGGAGTGCAGCCCAATAGGTGTCAGCCTTATTTTACCCAGCCCCTATTCAAGATGGAGTTGCTCTGGTTTAAACACCTCTGACATAACCAACAAAAATTGAGTCAGTTCCTTGGAGTCTGTAGTTATAAAATTTAATCTATCCAAGAATGCGCTCCATGGCCTACTTAGCGGCAATGAAAATAGTTAAGATGACGTAAAGGCATGTACATTATGTCTTTCCTTATATACATGCTCATATATACTAACAATGCATAAACTATTTCTGGAGGGATACACCGAAAAAAAAAAAGTAGCTGATTTTAGAAGGGTGAATGGAACACCTAGAGTGGTGGAGACTTTGCTGTATGCTGTATGAATTATATTTATCATGTGTAAATATCATTTTTAAAATAAAAACACTAGTTTTTACAAAGTACATGCAAGGGACCAAACTGGCTAAAGGGATTACCCCATTTGGCCACTGAGGTAAACTCTAAAATTACATCTTACTCTCCCAAGATAGAGTACCAATTGCCTCAAGAACAGAATAAAGTGGAGAAAATGATTTTCTGTTACTACTTCTAGAACTGTTTATTTAATATGTGAATGACCATTTAGGAATGACTGGACGGAATTAAAGACATGACTGGTGTGTTTTCCTGCCTTTCCCCCTTCTTATTCCAACTAAAGAGTTTCATCTTTCAAAGAAGAAAAAAAAATGACATTAGTAAGTTAATACAATTTTAAAGAAGAAGAAGGAATTTTCTGTTCTTTCAGGGCTGTCTCCGCATGGACCCTAGTGAGAGACTGACATGTGAAGAGCTGTTGCACCACCCGTATTTTGAAAACATCAGAGAAATAGATGATTTGGCAAAAGAACATGACAAACCAACAAGGAAGACCCTAAGAAAGAGCCAAAAGCTCCAGTGCTTTACAGAAACATCCAAGGTGATAGTTTCAAATGATCTACCTGCCACCTGGTACAGAGAGTTGGAATCTTGACTTGAGAATGGCAGTTGTGGCTTTCAGCTCCAGCATCCTCATCCAGGGTCCCAGATATCTGTCTCCTGAAGCCCCCTCTCCCTGAATCCTAAAGTTGCCCTTTTCCTGCTGTTTCTGGTCTGCAAGAGCACAGGTCTCAACAAGGTCTATGAGTATGAGTCCAGCTGAGCAGACGTCTTGTACTTTGGAAAATGAAATCAGATTTTCCCCAGGCAGTTCTGTGTCATCATGTTCACCTTCACTATTAACTAACACTCCAAGTTTGTCCAAAAAAGGAGCTGTTTTCCTCCCTGATCCTTTGTCAGAGTTGGCTAGGGCAAATACAGCGATGAGTGCTTTGGTGCTATCAGCAGAATACATTTAACCAGAGAACAGCATCCAAACTGCACAATGGGAGCCTGTGAAGAAGTCTGACTGGTATAAAATGGCCTTATATTAAGCATCTTGTGATAAGCCCAAAGCTGTAGTAATTTAGAATGAACTGTAGCTGGAAACACAACTGCTCCTGGGTAACCTCTGCATCTGCCTAGGTTCTCCTTAAGCTGTAATTTATGTTGCCTTAGTCTTTCCCCTTGCAGCTTCCACTGCGTGGCATGCTGAATGGTACCAGGGTGGTGTGTGTGAGGCTGGGAGGAGGGAAAAGGGGAAAGAGTCCATGAGGAACAAGTACAGCATGAACTCCAGGGCCCTAATGTAGATCACAGTTACAAAATTAACGTTTTAATTTTATTGTCCATCATATATGATCCAGGTAGCAAAACAGGCCAGAAATAGACTCCTCTACCCCCACCCCAGAATTATTCCTTATCTCAGTATTACTTTGTATTCAAGAGCAAACGGTTTTGATGGAAATATTTCTTATTGAAAAAAGAGGGAAACTCCACTATTTGGTGTATTGCGTTTTTGTTTTTTGAGACTGAGTCTTGTTCTGTTGCCCAGGCTGGAGTGCAGTAGTGTTGCAACCTCTGCCTCCCAGGTTCAAGTAATTCTCCTGCCCCAGCCTCCCCAGTAGTTGGGATTACAGGCACATGCCAGAATGCCCAACTAATTTCTATATTTTTAGTAGAGATGGGGTTTTGCCATGTAGGCTGGTCTCAAACTCCTGACCTCAGGTGATCCACCCGCCTCGCCTCCCAAAGTGCTAGGATTATAGGCGTGAGCCACTGCACCCAGCCTGGTGTATTGCTTTTAAATCCTGAAGGAATCAATTGATTTAAAAGTACTAAAAAGTACCCTTTTTAGGGATACCTAAGGACATACAGTGCAATACAAAAAATACTGGTGTGTTCTTACTTTCATTTGACATTGACAGTAAATTCAAACATTTTCGGGAAGCTTGAAGGAAACAGGTTTGTCTTTTGTCTTTAGAGATGGGGGTCTTGCTATGTTGCCCAGGCTGATCTCTTGGGCTCAAGTGATCCTCCCACCTCAGCCTCCCTAGTAGCTGGAAAAAGTGTGCATTGTGCCATGCTTTATTTGCCTTTTTAACTAAGGGAAGAGAGTAAGTAGGCAAATTGCCTAGGTGCTGGTTACCAGTTTCCTGCTATAAGACAAGGCATTGCCTTAAAAGATCCCTAAGATCTCAGCAAGCTCTCAACTCCTATAAATCTGTATTTTTTCCCAATAACGTTAACATGTAGATTTTCCTTTTCATATTTTCTAAATCTTCTTTAATGTGCATGATTTTCGTTTTTAATATAAAATATATCTTTAAAAGGAGAAGCAAAGACCAAATTGAAACATTTAATCCTCTCTCAAGTCCTGGAATCTGTGCAAAAAAGTATTTCTGTACTAAATAGCTGAATTACCTCTTTTGTGATCTATTCTAAATAATGAAAAAAAATGCATGGCACAGTTTTGAACCTAATTCAGTGTTTTGCATTTTCAGTTGCAGTACCTACCCCAGCTAACTGGCAGCAGCATCCTTCCAGCTTTGGATAATAAGAAGTACTACTGTAATACCAAGAAACTGAACTACCATTTTCCAAATATTTAAAGGTACTAGGAGACATGATTTTAAAAAAGGAATTGATAGATACTTGGAAGAAAATAAAACTTATACAGTTGATTGAAAACAATTATAATGTTGAAAACATACCAGGAGAAAACATAAGCTAGAAACTGGGAGGCCACTTGGCACCATACGAAGGGGAATTCCAGATCCAGTCTCCCATGCCTGATAATGGTGTCCAGAAAAGAAAGAGAAAACCTGTTTGGAGTTTCACCTGTATTTCAGTTTATGTAAGCAGCCGAGCTTATGGACAGCATATGAACTGTCCCATACCTCTGGCAAAACTAGATGACGTCAAAAAGATTTATGTTTCAGTTGTACCAAATGCCACACAAGAAAAATGGACTACAAAATACCTATATATATTTCCTCCGATCTCTGTTGCTTTGACTCCTATCTCCTGCCTCTCAGATTGTTTCAGCATATTTAAGGCTAGTTCTATTTCTTGAAATCAAAATGCTTAAAATCCCATTTCCTGCTTGCTCTATTTCTTGATTTTTATATTTTAAAACATTTTGTGGATAACACTTAGGTTCGAAATATTTAAAAACATATGAGTTATCACAAAGACTTGGTAATTTCTATATTTAATTATATGTTTATCCATTTCATTCTTACTTTATAAGGATGTACCTTAGTCACTTTTGCAGGCAAGGTGGATTTACTGTAATCTGTCTACATTCATTCACCCAATTCCCCTTTCAAACAATGGGATGAAGCTTGGCAGCTGATTAAGGCAGTCAAAGGGTAGAGTAAGACCTACAGGCTTTGCAGGAACTGAACCTGTCATCCTGAAAATAATTAGTACTTCATTCTATCCAGCACAGCCTTAGACCTGGTACATCTATAGCCAAACCTGTAATATAATGATCTGGGTTTCAGAAGAAATTGCTTGTGGGCTCATTCATGACATAAGTCATGAAAGTGTATATGATGTTTTCCCCGAAACATCTTTTCATGCTATATATGTGGATGTATGTGTGCACATATATATATATATATTGCTATCCTAACAACTAATATATTACAGTAAGTAGACCAAAACTGAGGATTCACAGCTTTGTACAGTGAGACCTAAAATGTTGACATATATATATATGTCCATCCTTCCACCTCCGCCTCCCAAGCAGCTGGGACTACAGGCATGTGCCACTATACCTGGCTAATTTTTTGGCATTTTTTGGTACAGACAGGGTTTTGCCATGTCACCCAGACTGGTCTTGAACTCTTGGGCTCACGCGATCTGCCTGCCTCGGCTTTCCAAAGTGCTTGGCATCACAGGCATGAGCCACTGCGCCTGGCCGAAAAGACATAATTAGCCTACTGCTCTTAATCAAAAAGCTTTTTCATCCTTGTCCCCTGGACACAAGGGCAATATCAAGCCTGATACCTGTTTCTTACAGCTCAACACCATTTCTGGTTGATGTGCTGCCACCATTCTTAGCACTTCTCAGCCATGGTCTTCAAAGCTGTGTATTTCACTGTATTTTCAAAGCATTTCTTCTGTATTCTCATTTTCTTGTTAGTTTTCTTCATGATGACGTCTGACCCCATTCACTTACTGTTAAGTAATCCACTGAAGTCTGGTGTCTGTTCAATAATTTTGACTACTCTAGGCACTTTAATGATATCCTAAGGCTTCCTAATGTAGTTTCTTGCCTAGACCTGATAATGGGTTAAATGCTAGTCCCAGAATTATTCAATTCCTGTTAGACAGCCTTGATTCAGATGACAAAGAAGAATATCCAACTTCCGTGAATAGTTAAAATTTTTCTTTTTTTCCCGTAACCCAAGAAAATGCACTTGATGGAGGCAGATGACTATAATTGCCTAATTGAGCCAATAGTTTTACTGAAAACCATTCAGAATAGAAAAGTAGCTCTGGACTAATCGTGGTGAATCAGTTGTCTCACCACACAGTAATGAAAGAAACCTGAGAAAAAAGGCTTATTTTTCTCTAACGAGTTCCATTAAATTTATGCTTATGTTCAATTTAACCATATTTATAATCCTTTTATTCTCTACTGGAAATCTCTACTGTACCACATGAGACTCTTCCACATCCTTTTATTTACTTTTCTGATTTTTTAAAATGACAGTGGCAATTAGTAAACAGTTGACCATTTATCTATGTGCTATTTGTATAAGCTGGTTTTTAAATACACAAAAATTAATTTTTCTACCTGAAAGCTGTATCATAGAAAGTATTTATTTGAAAATTATTTTCAAGTTTATATTCAACTGCTTAATAATGTTTAAACCAGGCCAGGTGTGGTGGCTCACACCTGTAATCCCAGCACTCTGGGAGGCCTAGGTGGGTGGATCATGAGGTTGGGAGTTTAAGACCAGTTTGGCCAAGATGGTGAAACCCCATCTCTACTAAAAATACAAAAATTAGCCTGGCATAGTGGTGGGCTCCTGTAATACCAGCTACTTGGGAGGCTAAGGCAGAGAAATGCTTGAATCTGGGAGGCGGAGGTTGCAGTGGTCCATGATCATGCCCCTGCACTCCAGCCTGGGCAACAGCGAGACTCCATCTCAAAAAAAAAAAAAAAAATATGTTCAAACCACAAACAAAGAAATCTATAAACAAGCTGGCATAGAACAGTAATAGAATCAGGGCCATTTCACACAGGTAACCTGTTTTATCCATTTTTGACTTTTTTTTTTTTTTTTTTTGAGACAAGGTCTTAATCTGCTGACCAGGCTGAAGTACAGTGGTGCCAACATAGCTTATTGCAGCCTTGACTTCCCAGGCTCAATTTTTTAAGAGACAGACAGGGTCTTCCTCTTTCACCCAGGCTTCCCGGGTGGCGTTCAGTGGCCATGATCATAGTTTGCCGCAGCCTCAAACTCCTGAGCTCAAGTGATCCTACCACCTCGACCTCCCAAGTATCTGGGACTACAGATGTGCACCACCATGCCTGGCTAATTTTTAAAAATTTTTTATAAAGATAGGGTCTCACTGTGTTACCCAAATTGGTCTCAAACTCCTTGCCTCAAGTGATCTTCCACCTCAGTCTCCCAAAGTACTGGGATTACAGGCATGACCCACGGCACCCAGCCTAAAGCAATTTTAGGTTTTAAGAAAAACCTAAGCATAGCCTACTGGTTTTTATGATTGTTTCCTTTATTATATTGCAATCTGCAAAACTGTGTGAATTCAGCCAAGTAGCTATATCCAGTTTTAATAAAATGCTAGCTTAAGTTTACAAAGTAGACAAATTAAGCAGCAACTGTTGATTTTGAGAAAGGATGTATGGTATGAAAACACAAGAATGCAGGATCATGAGAAATGCATGCAAATCTTGGGAAGCAATATGTAATGCATGCCTCAACAACCGCTGAAGACTTTGCATAACTGATTCCATCAATGAATGTGTAATTTAGCTTCTAATTTCTCATAATTGTGCATTTATGGTAGTATGCTTCACTAACTTTAAAGTTAAATTTAATGTAAATTATTGTTATAACACAATAAAAATATCTGTTGTTCAAATAACTTTAAAGGATTCCAGACAAATGTCTACATCAAAAGATATCTCTAGATTTACCTAAGTGAAGAATATATTAGAATTAAAATGTTACCTAGTTTGCATTTTTTTTTCTTTTTTTTGAGATGGAGTCTCACTCTCTTGCCCAGGATGGAGTGCAGTGGCACAATCTTGGGTCACTGATGGAGTCTTGCTCTCTTGCCCAGGATGGAGTGCAGTGGCACAATCGTCACTGCGACCTCCACCTCCTGGGTTCAAGTGATTCTCCTGCCTCAGCCTCCAGAGTAGCTGGGATTATAGGCATGTACCACCACACCTAGCTAATTTTGTATTTTTAATAGAGATGGGGTTTCGCCATGTTGGCGATGGTTGGTCTTGAACTCCTGACCTTAGGTGATCTGCCCGCCTTGGACTCCCAAAATGCTGGGATTACAGGTGTGAGCCACCATGCACAGCTGCATTTTTCTTAAAGTGTATTAATGCACATAAATTCTCACTTCCAACTTAGTAACATTAGTGAGTCACATCTGAATAGTTTCTACATATGATGCACTCTCCACTTCTAAAATGTCATGATATGGCATCCTTATAATTCTACCGATTATATAATATTAATTGACATTTAGAAACAACAGTTTCAAATGATCCTTTATACTGAAATAAGACACATTCTTTTACTTCAATTGTAATTTTAGTTCCAGAGAAGGCAGTGCTGTCTTAAAGGTTTGGACAAGATTTTCTTTTTCTTTTACTCCAGGAAGATCACTTAACAACAAATATTTGAGGTTTCTGCAAGTAAAGAAAAGAAGTCACTTCAATTTGGCCAAGAGCATTAAAAATAAACTCAATTTACTGACTTAAAGAAAATTACAGAGAAAATGAATCTATGTCACCCTATGCCTTAAAAATGACTTTCAGAGAAGTAGTCTTAGAGATGAAATTCATGCCTAGAAGTAACAGACTTTGGGTTATGTCAATATTTCTAGCCAAATCATTCTAAATAAAATATATATAATGACATAGATATCCTTTGCATGTAAGATATGAAATGTGAAACCCCAAAAGGGCAAAAACTGGGAAAGTTCTTAAAGGTACTTAAGTTTCTACCAAAAGATGAAGCTTTGAAGCCTCAACTAATGTAAGAGATGAATAATCTAGTACTTTTGGTCATCATGTTTAAAATTTTTCAAACTCACTGTGATACTGAGGTTTCTGGCAGATCCATTATATATTAAAGCATAACTACATTAATTAGATTCAGAATTTGAATGTGGGGATCTCTAAAATAGGGATTTGATTAAACAAACCTGTTCTTTTTTTACTATGCTGATAAGACTCAGAATCTTACAATTTTAGAATTAAACATTCCTTGCTAGTATTATCAGTTTTTGCATTTGTGATTAGGTGACTTGCTCCAGGTCATGGCATGAGTCTGGTTGGTGGCACAGAAGGATGTAGAACAGCTTTCCTAACTAGTGGATACGTGCTTTTGATGAGCATTATAGCGTCAGGCAGTGTTCTAAGCTCTAGAGACAGAAAGATGAATATTTCAAGGTTTGTTTCCCTCAAACAACATAATTACAGGGTAAAATGCTAATAGGTATATACCAAATATCCTGAAAATATCAAAAACATAGGGGAAATTGCTTAAAAAAAGTAGAGAAAGCATAATCATTGATGCTTACTAAGGGCTTACTATGATAGGCATCATGCTAGGTGCTTAATATAGGTTTAATTTTTAAAAACATATTCTATAAAAAATGCAATAAAACATTAATGGATTAAGGTTGATAGTTTTAACTGTTTTAAAGTATTACAGATCAAAGTGAGGTCATTTTAAAAAATCATCTTTTTCAGAACTAAAAAAAGATACTACCCCTCACAGTCAAATTCTAACTATTCATCTTAATAGCATTATCAGGTTTCCACTTTGGCTTTGATCATCTACCTTAAATGACGCAAAGCAACGATGCCTTTGTCTGTGATATTCCCACAGGATATTATTTCCATTTCCAATATGCTTTTTCGTAAATTTTCAAGTTGACTAAGTTTCAGCAAACAGCCATCCTCGATATACTGACACTTGCACAGCCTTATTTTTTCAACATGCTCTAGGCCCTCTGAGGAGAAAAAGCACAGATTAAGAATCTGCTTTACCATTAAGATGACAAACTGTCCTGGTTTGCCCAGGACTAACTTAGTTTTAGGACTGAAAGTCCTATGTCCTGGGAAACCTTTTAAGTCCCCTGAAAACTGGAATGAGTACTCACCCTACTAACCATATAAGGAATTCACTATAGAGCTTGTGCTGATGGACAGGGCCATTCCGAAGTCAGATGCCTTGGAGGAAAGAAATGCCCACATAGGGGCAGGCACAGTGGCTCACACCTGTAATCCTACCACTTTGGGAAGCTGAGGCATGTGGATCGCCTGAGGTCAGGAATTCAGACCGGCCTGGTCAACATGGTGAAACGCTGTCTCTACTAAAAATACAAAAATTAGCGGGGCATGGTGGTGCACGCCTGTAATCCCAGCTATTTGGGAGACTGAGGCAGGAGGATCACCTTGGAGGCAGAGGTTGCAGTGAGCCGAGATTGTGCCACTGCACTCTAGATTGGGTGAGAGTGAGACTCTGTCTCAAAAAAAAAAAGCCCACATAAGCAGAAGCTATGTGGATATAATTATTCCTGCATTATTGAGGGCTTCTCAGTGACTAGAAGTTTGACAAAGATAGTTTGACAAACAAGGCCCTGGATTTTAAGTCAATAAACCAAAGAATAGAGACATATAGAAACAAGCTTAGTGAGAGGAGGAAGGAGAGGAAGGTATCTGTAACCTCAATTTAATTTAAAAATAAATATCAAACGCAGGAAGAAACAAACTTGACTGTACTGAAAAGGGCAAAAAGGACATACCTATAACTATAATCATGAGTCAACCAAAACAAAATAGTCATTGCAAATCACCTGCATTTCCTATTAGCAAAATGATAGGGTAGTTACCCATGTGATCAAATCCAACGCTCATGATACAAGAGTCGGTGGCATCAATCGCCTGAATCTTGTATTTGTCCAGAGGGCCTGTTGGGAGGTGGTTGTAGTCCTTCTGCCACCTCTCCTGACCATGGTAGCGTACCATGGCCCCACAGCGCAGCAACCACTCGGATGCTGCCCTGTCAGGGCCAACATCCCTGATGCGCTCATAATCCACCCTGTTTGCAAGAGAAAAAAAAGCAGTTCGCTTTTACAATAATTACTAGCTTGTTAACTATATTCACTGACATAAATACAGAACGTAACAAATTTTCATTTCAAGTGACTGAAGAGGAAGATAAATGTATTAATGAGATCCATGCAAAAAAACCCCCAAAACTAAAAAACTATAGTCTATCTGCTAACTTCTGGTTTTGTTTTTGTTTCTAAGTGAACACTGTCAAGGCATATTATTTTTATATGACTTTATCAGTCAGACACAAGTTTTCATTGATTCGTATACAGCAGAGTGCTTGACACCAGAGATATTTAGTAATTGTTCTAGGAATGACTATACTTGGTTAGAATTTCTATTAATAACAAAAGATTAAAGGGAAAATAATTCTGAATGTGTGTTCAAATTAATCTCAGTGATATTTATTAATTTCTACATATGCTTTTTTTCTGTAGCTAGTGATCATAATGCTGTATTAAGCAATCAGAAGGAGGTTCATTTCATCAGTTTCAAAATAATATTTTTAAGTGTGCCACCCACTAATTTTTTGAAAACTTGAGTTACTTTGATAGAATTCAAAAGGTTAACTACATTTCTTTAAAAAGCCATAAAAGGCCGGGCACGGTGGCTCACACCTGTAATCCCAGCACTTTGAGAGGCCAAGGCAGGTGGATCACGAGGTCAAGAGATCGAGACCATCCTGGTCAACAAGGTGAAACCCCGTCTCTACTAAAAATACAAAAATTAGCTGGGCATGGTGGCGTGCACCTGTAGTCCCAGCTACTCGGGAGGCTGAGGCAGGAGAATTGCCTGAACCCAGGAGGCGGAGGTTGCGGTGAGCCGAGATTGCAGCATTGCACTCCAGCCTGGGTAACAAGAGCAAAACTCCATCTCAAAAAAAACAAAACAAAGCAAAAGCCATAAAAATATTTTAAAATTATATTTAATAAGTTTTTGATTATAAATGTTTATTTTAGAAAACTTGAAATATATCAAAAGCACTAGTAAAAAAAATCCTTGAAATCCTGCAACTCAAACAGCCAGTTAATATTTTGTAATCTATTTTTCTGCTGTTTTCCCCATGTTTGTGTGGGTTTTGTTTGTCTGTAAACAAAATTAGGATCACAATGCAAACTGTTAAAAGAACATTTGAAATACAAGAAATAGGCCGGGCGTGGTGGCTCATGTCTGTAATCCCAGCACTTTGGGAGGATGAGGCAGGTGGATCACCTGAGGGCAGGAGTTGGAGACCAGCCTGGTCAACATGGTGAAACCCCGTCTCTACTAAAAATACAAAAATTAGGCAGGTGTGGTGGTGGGTGCCTATAATCCCAGCTACTCAGGAGGCTGAGGCAGGAGAATCACTTGAACCTTGGAGGTGGAGGTTGCAGTGACCCAAGATCGCGCCACTGCACTCCTGCCTGGGCGATAAGAGCAAGAAAACAAACAAACAAAAATGAGAAATAGCCAAACTAGCTATTGGGAACGTATCCAGCTGTAACAATCTCCACATCTCTTCACTTTATTTAGAATAACTTAATTAAACAAACAAACAAACAAACAAAAAATGAGAAATAGCCAAACTAGCTACTGGGAACTTATCTAGCTGTAACAATCTCTACATTTCTTCACTTTATTTAGAGTAACTTACTTATTAAACACGGCATTCAACCAGCCCCAGAAGTATCTGGAGTCACATGACCATGGGAGTTTCTTTAATCCATAAAACTGCTGGGAAACTTTTCCAAACAGCATCATTTAATCTAGACACACAAAACAGTACTTATATTAGATCATCATCAGGGTCCTATACATATAGCAACTTACTTCACAACTTCAATGTTCTTGTACTGATAAAGCTGATGACTCACTTGCCACTCAGCAGTTATTGAGCAAGTCACTCCTGTTTCTGCTTCTTGGGTTTTTTTATTTGTTTGCTGCAAAAAAATGAGGGGTTGGACTGGATGGTGTCTAAGGTTCCTTCTGGCTTGAACATTAAGTTCCACGTTGAAACCTCAACTGGAGTCTGTCTGTTGTACTGCCACCTAGTGTCCATTCAGGCACCGTAGTTACGTGCTTGCTAAAACCAGCTCTACTCCCCATCTGTATTTCCAGTATCAAAATGACTTACTAAAATCACCGAAAAAACAAACAACGTGTCGAGGTTAAGATGCTTATATCCAGAAAAGAAGAGGAGACATGAAAATAGATCTACCTATGACAAGGCTGCAAGTGGTGTTACCAGAGCAGTGTAAACAATAAAAAATGTTGCAGGGCAGCTGGAAAGGGCTGGGCAAGTGACTTCACCTTTCTAACCTCTGGTATTCTCATTTGTAAAATGAGATGATTTGCTTAGATAATTTCCAGCTGTCAAAATCTATAACCATAATTTGAGAAAGTGATTCCTGGAGTAGGTTTCAATCTGATTTACCTCAATTCAAGTTTCTCTAGTAGTGTGCTAGGTGGTATGTGCAAGGGACTGGGTGCAGCAGAGGGGACGGGGAGACAAAGATAAATGAAACGGTGTTTGCTTTGAGCATCTGACAATTTAATGCAGGGTGGAGTGGGCTAAGACACGTTGCCAAGGAGTTAAAATAAGTGACGGAACTTGATAAATGCCTCAAAAGAGTTAAAACAAGGACAGAAAAAAATTTCAACAAAGGTGCCAGGAAAAATTATGCCAGATTATTAGCTGAAGCAGGAACATCTAAGGCATGTTATTTTCAGTTTCACTAGCACATGTGAGTCATGAGAAGAGGCAGGCAACTTGCAGAGTCAGGTCATGAAGGGTCTTACATGCTCACCAGGGAATTTGGACTGTATTCTGCAGGCAGCTGGGAGTCACCAAGGTTTTAGAACAAAGCACTGCCATTGCTATGGTTGTGCTTCAAGAAATTTACTCAGACAGCAGCATCAAGATTAAGGGTCAACAGAATGGGACAGCCAGCCAGCAAGGGTTTCAATCACATGAGGTCAGAGGAAAGGGCCTAGTTGGGGAAGAATGGGAATGCTATTACAGAGTTAGTTCCATATGACTGAGTTAAGTGAGATGTAGGGGCAAGGGCTAGAGGAGTTGAAGATGACACCAAGTTTGGGTCCTGGGTTACTAGTAGGATGGTGATGCTATGAACAAAAATCAACATCAGGAGGACAGGGTTATAGATTCAGATTTTTTAGTTTTTCATAATCTATATATTAATTGCAGCAGGATTTCTAAGTGCAGATGACCAAGAAATCACTGGAATCAGTCACAAAATGTTAGAGCTGTAAGGAATTTAGATCACCTGGACCACGTGAGGAAACTGAAGCTCTGATATTAAGTAACTTGCAGACACCCTAAATCCTTTCTGGAACAAGGTGCGGTATTAATAAATGCATGTGTTTAAAGGGACTTGCTCAATGTTTCATGGCTAATTGGTGGTAGTGTTGAAACTTGAACCAGTTCTCTACCAGTCTAGGGTCCTTTCCTTAATCATTACATGGTTCTAGAATTCAAGAGAAAGAGGGCTAGAAAGATGCCTGAGTGGGAAACATCTTAGAGCTGAGGAAGTAATTGAGGATGTTAAGGCCATGAAAGAGTGAAAGATGTGACCTGAGGACAGAACCAACTACCCTTTTCATTTCTTTTCTACCATAGCCGTCTTCATTACTGCAAACCTCTGCTCCACTACCTCCCTTTCATGTTCTCAACGCTTTCCAGCTTTTTGTTAAAGCTCTCTCGCCTGTGCCCACCTTGAATAACTCAATTAGCTGTCAATCTTATTTACAAATATGGGCTTTCCCAGATTCTATTCAGGCTATTTTCTCTTAGCCTCCCTCCCCCATCACCATCAATCTGTGGAAATCCCACCCAACTTCAAGACCTTATTCAAATCCCAAGGCCATTCATTCATTTGCTCAATAAATGTATATTGAATGTCTGCTATACTTACTGCAAAGGCAACAACGGTAAGTCAAAACAAACAAGAATAAAGGAGAAAGAGAGAAGGACAAGGTTCCTGACCTTATATAACGCATAGTTTAATAAAGGCAGATGACATATTAAGAGATAAATAACACCCAATGTAGTTGGATAATAGAGATGTGAACAAATGCCATGAGAACCTAGAAAAGGTAATGAGAGGAAGGCTTCACACCGGAGGTGTCTTTTGAGATGGGTCTTAAACAATGATTAAAGTTTTTAGTTAGTATAAAAGCAGAACCAGAATATGCAAAAAAAAAATTCCAGTTAGAATGAAAAAAGAGTATGCAAAGTAAAAGAAAGAGCAAGACTCATCTTATTCATTTCCATTTTTCTTAGCATAATGCAAAAGTTTAATAAATATTTGTTTATTAATAGCCTTCAATGGTTGACATGTTTCCATGGAGAAAGATAAAACCAGTTAAACTGTTTTTAAGCAGGTGAATTAGAGTGGTCTTTGAAAACTTTTGCTTGATTCATTTTGGTCCATCTTATAATTTAGCTTAAACAAAAGGCCAAATTTACTTCAGCTGCAATCTCCAAAAACACAAGATATTAGATTTAAAAGATTGTAAACGTGAAAATTAAGTTTATATTTGACAGTAGAGGTAAAAAAAAATTGGTAGGTTTTTATGTTTTCAACTGCAACTTTGCTAATGATTTTGCAAATTATTCCTACTTGAGTCCAAGCAGTTGCCTCTGGGAATGTTTTCTATAGGGAAAGAGGAGACCTCTAGTGGTAAGTTAGTGACTCTAGCTCTAATAAATTAAAAGTATCCAGTTAAACGCAAATTAGAAAATAACCACGACTAAATTACTGCTGCCATAGATAATGCACCATGATCAAGTGGGTTTTATACCAGGGATGCAGGAATGGCTTAACATACACAAGTCAATAAATGTTATACACCACATAAACAGAATTAAAAACAAAAATTACACGATCATCTTAATAGATGCAGAAAAAGCATTTGACAAAATCCAGCATCCCTTTGTGATTAAAGCCCTCAGCAAAACTGGCATACAAGGAGCATACCTCAAAATAATAAAAGCCAACTATGACAAACTCACAGCCAACATAATAGTGAACAGGGAAAAGTTTAAAGCTGTCCCTCTGAGAACTGGAACAAGACAAGGATGGCCACTCCAACCACTTTTTTTTTTTTTGAGATGGTGTTTCACTCTTGTTGCCCAGGCTGGAATGCAATGGCAGGACCTTGGCTCACTGCAACCCCCTCCTCCTAGGTTCAAATGATTCTCCTGCCTCAGCCTTCTGAGTAGCTAGAATTACAGGCACCTGCCACCATTTCAGGCTAATTTTTTGTGTTTTTAGTAGAGATGGGGTTTCACCATGTTATCCAGGCTGGTCTTGATATCCTGACCTCAGGTGATCCATCCACCTCAGCTTTTAAAGTTGCTGGGATTACTGGCATGAGCCACGGCACCAGGCCCCACTCTCACTACTTCTATTTAGCATATTACTGGAAGTCTAGCCAGAGCAATCAGACAAGAGAAAGAAATTAAAGAGGTAAAGAGGAAGTCAAACTGTCACTGTTTGCTGATGATATGACTGTTTACCTAGAAAACCCTAAAGACTCCTCCAAAAAGCTTCTAGAACCAATAAATGAATTCATCAAAGTTTCAGGATACAAAATTAATATACACAAATTAATACCTTTCCTATACACCGACAGCAACCAAGCTGAAAATCAAATCAAGAACTCAACCCCTTTAATAATAGCTGCAAAATAAATAAATAAATAAATAAATAAAATACTTAGGAATATGCCTAAACAAGGAGGTGAAAGACCTCTAAAAGGAAACTACAAAACGCTGCTGAAATAAATCACAGATGACACAAACAAATGGAAACACATCCCATGCTCATGGATGGGCAGAATCAATATTGTGAAAATGACCATACTGCCAAAAGCAATGAACATATATACTGCTTTGAGTTCATTGTAGATTCTGGATATTAGTCTTCCCATCAATGCAATTCCCATCAAAATACCATCATTCTTCACAGAACTAGAAAAAACTATTCCAAAATTCATATGGAACCAAGAAGAGCCCACATAGCCAAAGCAAAAGTAAGCAAAAAGATAAATCTGGAGGCATCACATTACCTGATTTCAAACTATACTATAAGGCCATAGTCACCAAAACAGCATGGTACTAGTATAAAAATTGGCACATACACCAGTGGAACAGAACAGAGAACCCAGAAAGACACCCAAATACTTATAGCCAACTGATCTTCAACAAAGCAAACAAAAATACCAAGTAGGGAAAGGACACCCTATTCAACAAATGATGTTGGGATAATTGGCAAGGCACATGTACAAGAATGAAACTGGATCCTCATCTGTCACCTTATACAAAAATCAACTCAAGATGGACTTTCAGTTGTATCTGTTTTATTTATGAGAAAAGAGGGAGGGAGGGAGAGAGAAAGGGAGAATTCCTCAGAGGGAGAAAGGAAAGAAACACTGAAAACACAGCACATTGTCATCACTGGATTAAATCTGGTTTATGTATACATAGGAGTTTATGGTGTTATTTATTCTTCTGAGTTGTTTGAAATAGTGCATAATAAAAACAAGCTACTGGGACCATACAAAAAAAATTTACTGCTGCCATAAATAATCCAGGTAGTCAAATTATGAAAACAAAATCAAAAAAACCTCCTTATCATCAAAACATGGCTTAGAGCCATATGTAACAGTGTCTTAAAAAGTTGCAATTTTGGCCAGGCGCGGTGGCTCAAGCCTGTAATCCCAGCACTTTGGAAGGCCGAGG